GAGAGAGAGAGAGACCAATGCCTGTTAACAGCAAAGCTATCAGATCAAGAGGCAAAGTGTGGGAAAAATGTAACTCCTTAGACATTAGGTTATGCATCTTAATGGAAAATATTTCTTGGATCAAGTTTGCATGGCCAAGAAATTTGAAGCTTCATTTTATTTATACTTTCAGTACTTCAAACAACTTACTTCATATGGATTAGGTGTTAATCAACTTCTAAATGGTCTCTTTGAGAGTTGTATCCATGTCAAGTACAACTTCTTATTTTTAGGTTCCACCTTCGAGCTTACAACATAAGAAGGTATGATAGCCTAATATTTTTGTTTGGTAGATAGATTAGGTGTGCATTAATCTAATAAACCATACCTAATCACACTTCTGATCCTTTCTTTCAGGGAGACAACACTCTCTGAGCATTAAACTGAGTTGATGCATGATTCAATGCACTTATTCGTCTTTTCATATCGTCGATCTTAAATAATTGAGATATTATGATTTTATCTCTTGATTTTTATTTATGGAAATTAGAATGCATTATCTCTTTTTTATACTCTATTCTTATGCTTGTGCTATTCAATTCTCACAAGATCCATGAACACATACAGATTGGAGTAAATGCACTCCACTTGAGCTACTTGGTGTGCTCGTTAAAAGTTGCACTTGTCATAATATCCTTTAGTTTTATCGTTCTTTTTTCTTTTGGTATTTTTTCATACTTTTTCTCGTATAATATTACTAATTTATCTTGTTGAAAATATGTTAAACAAATAAATTACATAAGCAATAGCATCTTCCTAAAAATTTTTAAGAATTCTTTCTTTCCTTGAACATACATCAGACAATATTAAGGTGTGTATAGCATGATGAATTGACATAAAATTTTATTATTTATATAAAAAATTTTAAATTCATTTGATATATATATATTGTCCCTATATGTTCTTAAGCATTTAATCTTACAATCATTTTATCTTTCAACCAAATTCTTAAATTATTTAAGTTTACTTAAAACTTCTTTTTTTTTTCCTTTAACATGTAAATCCAAATTTGACTATTATGATAATCAGTACAAGTAAAAAAATGCATGCTTTCTCCAAGTGATACTGGATGAATAGAGTCACAAACATCTGAGTGCATCACATCGAGTCGATGTCATGTTTTGTTCTTTTGACTTTAAAAGGTTTTCTTTCTTATTTGCACATAACACATATTTTATATGACTTTGATGGGTGATCATTCCTTAACAATTATGTTACTATATTATACTTATTTAGAAGTTTTAAAGTCTTAAATTTTAAGTGAGCATTTGTAAGATGTCACAATGTAGAATTATCCTTAATATTGGTTTTCGATAGGAAAAATAATAATGCTACTAACTCACCTTGCCACCTAAGCAACAACATAGGCAAACTCACACCAAATCCTCTACAACCACCAACGGGGAAACGACCCGTTGATCACTACCTATCTTGACTCCCGCAAAAAGGCAAACAAGGCCCACTCCTCATCTTCCCGATTAGCATCTTCAAAAGGAAGGCCGGTACGCATATTGAATCCAAGCAGCATGATGCGACTTCCCCAGCTTTACCTTCTGGATAAACGACGTAGGGAGTCATCCCTCACTTATCCCAAATAGGCCAAGAGTCATGGCAAAACATATCATCATGGTTGCCCTATCCTAATGTTGTCCTTAATAATCTCCTAACAGGGTAAGAGACTCCCTAAAACATATCATCATGCTGGCCTCGTATCATCGACCGCTCAGGTTTAAAACTCAAAGCCCTCATGCCAAACAGAAAAAGGAGAAAAAAGCGGGCTTTATCTAAACTTTTCTAAGCTCTATTAAACCCCCTTCATCTATTCTACTAACTCGAGTGTTATAAGGGTCGGGTCGGGACATCCCCTTATAGTAATTTTTTAAACTCAACTCGGTAAACTTATAGATGAAGCTTTTTTACTTTATATATACCATCGAATGCTTTTTGAAGTATTTCTCAAGCCTCTTTTGAAATATTTGTTAGAGCAATAATCTTGAATATTGTCTCATCAAATTCTTGATAAATCGTAATAAATCTGTTTTTCTCATTGTTCCTTTTATCTTTGAGTTATTTTCTTTTACTAAATTTTAAAAATTATTTTTGAAAATCTAACATATAAGGTTTATATAGTTTCCATAAATATATTATATTCATTACATTTAATATGAATCTCTCAAGATCTTTTCGAGAATTAATAATTAATTTAATTTATTATTCTATAAACCTTTAATATATTTCACTTCTTGATACGATCAACAATTTTTATTATGTCTTGACAAGTTTAATTTTAATATTAGCTTTATCTTCGAGCTTAGAACATAAAAAGGTTCCATAGCCTAATATTTTTATTTGATGGATTAGGTGGACATTAATCAAACAAGCCTTACCTAATCACACTTCTGACCCTTTCTTTCAGCAACACTCTCAGCATTAATGGTTCTTCATGGTCGCATTATTTCAACAGAGTTGATGCATGATTCAATGCATCTATCTCATTCTTATTCTTCTCTCATATCGTCGATCTCAAATAATTGAGACATTATAATTTTATCTTTTGATTTTTCTTTATCAAAATCAGAATGACTCAATGATTTAAAAAAAAAAAAAAGACAATAGCACCATAATTCTTAGTCTCGATATCTTTTTTATGCTTGTGCTTTGAGATTCTCACACAAGATTTGAGATCCAAGAACACATAGAGAGATTGGTGGAGTAGATGCACTCCACTCGAGTTACTTCGTGTGCTCACACAAAGTTGCAGATACGATATGGTTGTCCCATTACATTGCATCAGAAGAGGTCGTGTGAGTGACAACGGAGTCCTCTTTGTCCTTCTCAGCCGAAAAATTGGATCCTTTTGGTGAGGGGAAGAAGAAAAGTCTGCAGCATTAAATCCACTAATCGTTTCACTGTCTACTTTTATCTCATAATTAGATTAGTTCTTCGTCTTAATCTCGGCACGTGTCATGTTGACACGATCACCCAACCACTGTATTGAATTTTCTCGTAGAAATTTGATGCTCATTGATGGCATAACGTTGCTCAATTTAGGGTCACATAATTTTGTTGTTGTGAGATATTATTGTTTGGTATATGAAAGGTGATGAAAATAATAGAAGATAAAAATAATTATTGAAATGTCCCTCACTTATTTATACATATTAGAAGGAAGGATTTCCCTAAACATAATGAAGAGCAAAAGCAGATCGCTGCTGCTGCGATTGCTATTGCTATGAGGTCACATGCGTTCTTTTCATTCCCCTTAAGTTCGTCCTTCATTCTCCTTAAGTCAGCCAACTGTTGACAGATCAACGAAGACTATCAAGGTGAGGAAGATGAGGATTGGCCGTGAAGCCTCTTAGGAATTTGGCTACAGCGGCATTGGTCGCTGGCCGAAGGCAAGGGCGAAGCTTTGGTTGGTCGCTAACCAAAGGTAAGAGCGAAGCTTCGCTTTTCTCACTACTTTGATACCATGATAAAAATAATAGAAGATAAGAACAATTATTGAAGAAACTTTATTGAAGAAGTGAAAAAGCTTAAATACATTAACATGTCCCTCTCCTATTTATACATATTAGAACGAAGGATTTCCCTCAACAGAATGAAGGATTCTCCTTAATAGAATAGAGAGATTTCTTTGATTTTCTCATATGGGAACGGACCGGACAAATAATCTCTACAATATTGGTGAGAGAAAATAAAATATTTTTATTATTTTTTTAAAAAAATAAAAATTTATATATCAATTATAGTATTTTTGAATAAAATTATAATCTTTTGATACCTTAACCCAAATATCATAAGTCTATTTTAAAATATTATAACGAAAGAATTTATTTCAAAGAAGGCATCAATCGAAAAATATGAAAAAAAAAATATTTTTTGAAAAAAAATCAAAGAAGTACCTTTTTTTCTGATAATTCACTCTTTAATACCCATAATTGTGTTTTACTTAAATTTAAATCTGAGTACTACCTAACTATCTAAAACTCATCTAAGAAAATAATTGTCTATTCAACTGTAATCACAAAAATGTCTTTTATATATTATATATATATATATATATATATATATATAACGACGTCAGGGAGGAAGGAAAAGAGGTTGGGAATACGTGGCAGAATGGCTCCATGCAATGGCAATGACAGGTGCCACGCGTCAGCGTCAGACGTAGAAAGAGGTGACGTTCTCCTTCTCCGAGCTCTGGTTATGCACGGAGTAACCCTTATCGGTCCACTATTTACACGCAAGCTGAGAGGCTGCTTCATCATCGACAGGATAATTCTAACAAGGGTTTCTAAATCATAACAGCTGATCATTACTGGTAATGAGTTGAAAAGTGCCTCCAAAATAAATCTAGTGATAGAGACAGAGAGAGAGAGAGAGTGAGGTGCTTGACTTTGGAACACCCTCAAGAGGAACAGCTCTGCTGTACCAAGCATTTAACACCACCCGTCCTTCTCTCTCTCTCTCTCTCTCTCTCTCTCTCTTTCCTCTAGGATAATATGGCCTCTCCATGGATCAAAGAGGAGTTTTCAGTACATATAATATATATATATATACGATACCCAACTACTGGCTTGGACCCCTGTCAGAGTCTTGCTTCTGCCTCTGAGAAGGAAGAGACGAACACAGCCATCAGAGAGATCGGATGACATGGGAAGGTCTCCTTGCTGTGATAAGGTAGGTGTGAAGAAGGGTCCTTGGACGCCAGAAGAGGACCTCATGCTGGTCTCCTACATCCAACAACATGGACCTGGCAACTGGAAGGCCGCTCCTACACAGACCGGTGAGCTCTTTTACTCCTCTTTAAGCCATGTTGGAACTCTCCGGAGAGCAGCTTTGCGGTGTATTTACTCCTCTGTTGGGTGCCGGTTACGTTTAATTATTGGTCCAAGGTTTCTTTCTGTGAGCATCGAGCATCGGTAGATACATGTCTTCTGTGCTTTGGCCAGGTTTAATGAGATGCAGCAAGAGTTGCAGGCTTCGATGGACCAATTACCTCAGGCCGGGAATCAAGCGTGGCAACTTCACAGAGCAAGAGGAGAAGCTCATCGTCCACCTCCAAGCTCTCCTCGGAAACAGGTATAAGATCATCCGTGTAGTCAAGTCGGTGATTACTGTTTCTTTGGGACTATTCCTCACGGAGAAAGGAGTTTGATCGACTGCAGGTGGGCAGCCATAGCTTCCTATCTCCCGAAGAGGACAGACAATGACATCAAGAACCACTGGAACACTCATCTGAAGAAGAAGCTGAGGACGGCACCAGATCACCTCGAGGCTAATCTCAACAAAGATGCCTTCTCGATCCACCAACCCGTCTCCAAAGGCCAGTGGGAGAAGAAGCTCCAAACCGACATCAACGTGGCCAAGCAAGCCCTAGGCGAAGCCTTGTCCTTGAAGGAACCGACAAGTCCAAGTGGCTTCAGCTCGCCGGTGCCATCGACGACCTCTTACGCATCGAGCACAGAGAACATATCTCGATTGCTCGGGGAGTGGATGAAGAATCCACCCAAGAAAAGAACTCTAGGGACCGAGCCAGCCACCGTCGCCGACAGCAACGACCACAACAATAAGACGACGGTGTTAGCCGAGAAGCTTAATTCATTGCTCAGTGATATCGAGTCTTCAGCTTCGATGGTGTCGGAGAGCGAGCATCTCCCGTTGCTCGAGACTTGGCTCTTCGATGAAAGCCTTGGACAAGGGAATGCAGCGCTGGTCGAGATGCCATTAGATTACACGGCGGAGCTGTTTTAGGTGTGTTTTGTTACTGTAGGAAAGGCCTTGAGATGAACTAAAAGGAAATAGGTCATAGCAGTTGATGATTGAAGGGAAAGACCCTCAAATTGCAAGGAAATAAGTGTAAATTCTAAAGATCTACATGCACAATATGGATATGTGTTTCATGGGTCTGTGGTATATGGAAGTTCCAATTAGTAGCTCCCCATGGTTTGTGTGTGTGTGTGTGTTTTATTCAACTGGGTTTTGTTGATGCCTATATATATATTTTTTTATTTTATGTTTTTTCAAGTTGTGGAAATAAAAGGATTATGTAAGCAGTTATTATAAGTCATGACAAACTTGAATTATTATTATTATTATTTTGAATGGATGCTGATGATGCACTCAAATATATATATATATAAATACTTCATCTGTCCACTAGGTGAAGTTTAGACTATTTTGAGCTTTGCTGAGGTCTACTATGATCAATTTACTCTCCTGATTACTATCCTTCTCCTGACTAATATGAAAGATATCATCTATATGACATCAATATGGATGTTTAACAAAGTGTTGGAAGCTCTGCATGAGGCATTGGATCCCATCATCACCAACCTTAAGAATAAATATCAGTGAGTGAATGAAAAGGAGAAATAATAAAGAAGAAAGGTCAGTAGGACACATTGGAAATGGCCATGATGGTCTTAAATGCACCACATGTGAAGTTTCTTTCTCCCTTTTCTCCCCATTTCCAACACTTGGACTTGCAAGTTGTCAGCTACTTTGAAGACATGCATGCACCAACCAACCCAAGCTGTAAAAGATGGGAAACCCAAAAGGCTCTCATGCATGCCATGACCTTATGCCAAAGGAGAAGAAAGCCCTTTAAGCTTTCTTACTGTAACAAGGGATTGTGCAAGTATCAACCACAATATGTTTTCTTTCCAAAGCAGCAAACTTAATGCACTCCCCCTACTTTACATGTGAGTCTCTACATTCATTACTGCCAAGTATAGACAGCTCTGATCTCAAGGTTGCAGCATAGGAATGGAATGGAGGGAACATGTACACAGCAGTGATGTTCAAAGTCCAAAAGATGGTTGATGATAACAGAGTTGAGTGCGTTGTCACCCTTACATCTCCTCTGAAACCATCTTGTCTATGAATTAACTTCTCTCTGTAGACACCACATGTGCATCTTATTAGGGTCTTGAGGTGGACCATGTACATTAATTGACAAAATTAAAAGAAAACTTTATAAGATAATTGTGAGATCAATAATATTTTATGAATCTAAATATTAGAGAATATATATATATATATATATATATATATATATATATAAAGTTTATGTTATTAAGGTAAGAATATTAAGATAGATGTGTGAAGTTATTAAGAAAATTAGAAAAAAAAAATTTATTCATGAACAATTATGTATCACTTGATAGAAAATAAGAAGAGAGAAAATTATTTAAAATGATATAGACATATTATATGCTGATGAGACCTCCATATACAGTAATTAAAAGAGGTGAAATAACTAATGCTAATAATATGAAAAGAAATAGAGGAAGACGTAAAAAGATCCCAAGATAAACTATAAATTAATATATACGTACTCTAAACTTAACTTAACATATAGTTTATTATCATCTCAATGACGATAAAAAAACCTATGTAGTCGAACCTAAATATGACTTTGTTGTTGTAAAATGATTTGAATGAAATCTATTATATATATATATATAGTAGATAAATAATTACTGTTATATCATAGTGGTATTTGTAGAGCCTATTATGATGATAATTGGTAAAGAAACATATTCTGAGAATTTAGGTCGATATAATGACAATAATATGACATTAGACCTTCTCATATGATACACATGATTCTTGGAACTGAACTAGATAGTGAGGGTTTCTTCATGATGAACAGACACAGTCATTTTTGTCAGTTAATTTTTGACAGACAATTGCTCATAAAGATGAATCAGAAAGGAGGATAGTACTAGGGCACATGCTAGGATTTTTTTTTTTTTTTTGCAGTCAACAATTAGTAGGTTGATTAAACATGTATTCATTCATGTCAAATAAATGTCTCATCAATTGGCATTAAAAGTTGGACTTCTCACTTGCAAACATTGTAACTATTTGTATTTCAAGTGGAATCACATCTACCAAGGCTGTCATTTTGATGAATGAGAAGACTTGGTGGTTTACTTACTGTAGCTGATGTTTTGATAAATATTCTACAATTGAAGTATATATTTTTTGTATAAAAACCTTATGCCTTCAATTTCTTATGAGCTCCCATTTCTAATTATATTATCCCAACAAAATGCCCTGCAAAAACTATTTTTCAGTGGTTCATGCTAAGAACTGAGTTTAAAGACTCTAATCTATAATTTTCATCATCTAAAAGAACAAGCAGTCTTGGACCTTTCTTTTCATCATCTCAGAAATGAGTTTCTTTCTTTTCCTCCCAGTGATGATCAAGCAGTCTTGGGTTTATCTCACCTTTTCTGCTTTCGTTATCTTAATGTGGAACACTGATGATTACTTCCAGGTTCCACCACTGGTGATGTGATAAGGAAACAAATACATGTAGAGATGGATCCAAGTATTGTATATGGTAAGACCAGAAAAGATAAGAGAAAGAGAACACTGACCAAGACTCTGCTGAAATCTTCAAACATGTCAGTAACAACTTAGTTCTTTCCTTGAAGGCAGCATCCATCTCTTGGATTTTGTCATGTAAGGTAGTAGATGTTCCAGTGCATGCCTACTTGTCTGCAACAGGAGATGTTAACATATAAATATGTTTCAAGACTCCATAATTAAGATAAATATGTCCCCAAGTCTTCACTCACCCTTCTTATGGCATTTAACTTCAGTAGGTAGATGAAACCTTGTTAGACTACAATATAAAGTGGATCTTCATCTATCATCATTAATTTGTACAATGACAAAGATTTTGATAGGATTACTATACATCCCCAAAAGCTTAACCTTTTAGCATTAATAGTTATTCAATTCAAAATCTTTATCATAACTACAGACCAAGTGTGAGTTGGAATCATATGTTTGTCCCTCTCTGTTTGAGTTATTTCTTTAATTGGCTTATTATGTACTTATGAAAGAGGATGTTAGGTTTACATAAATTAGATCATTTCAACTTGAATGGTTTGGATAAATAGCTACCTCTTAGCTTTAGGATCACTTCCAGAGCTGGTTCTCAAAGGAAGTTACACTAGAATGGAGAGTCCCATGATGTATATATTGTATGTATATATTGTATGTATGTTCCTCATGTAGACAACAAGGAGAAAAGGTGCATGGGATAATGAGGATCCAACATTTCTGAGACTATTTATGTGAATGACTAATTTAGAAGGCAAAACAACAACAGAAAGTATGAAGATAATTAGCCCTTAGACACTGCTTTGACATAGCAGTACAAAATTATTTTTCTGACAAAGAAACAAGTTGGAGAAAAAACAGCAGTCTTGGGCCAGTTGGTACATCTCTTTGGTTGTAGACCAGCTAAGATAAACAACTAACATTTAAGAGGCATTTCAAGTCAAGGCAGTCTCTAAATGCATCATGTTGGACTAGTCTTACATAGAAAACATCTCAGGGCAAGGCTATGGTTGCATATTACAAGTATTAAATAGCCAAGGACTATATGGGCATGAATGGGGAGGGCCTACTTAGGGTATGTTAATTTGATCACAGTCTCATCCTAAATTGGATAGCTATGCTAATTTGACTTGGGCAAAGAGGCAATTTGAAACCTTTTAACACTCCTATAAATAAGACAATAAATAATATGGGATCCTAAAATGTATTCTAACAAGGCCTGAATGACAGTGAATCAGATTGCCTCAGGCATTCATATCTATCTGACATATTCAAATAAGGCTCAACCCCTTTTGATGAAGTTTGGAATAAATTTTGGGATAGATAAATAGGTGCTCAAATCTGGTTTAGATTTGGGTGCATAATTAAACTCAAATTCTGATAGAATGAATTTATAGGTATTTTATCTACTATTGTTCTTAATATGAGATAATAGTGATGATAAATTGATGTTTAAGTACTTGAATATCCTTTAATTATAGAATAGGACTCTCAAATAAGCATTGAATCAAGTTCAGATTCAGGTATAATTATTATATAGTCAATGTAGTCAACCTACTACCACCACTGTCTTTGAGACCTGAAGCCAAAGAGTTCCACCACCACTTGGTTCACCCAAAGATGCACAATACAGGATTGGATAATATTCCAAATCAAGACCATACAAAAAGAAGAACAAATGCAAGATTCCCTAATGTTGTAAGAATAAGATGACAAAATGGTTTTGTTATAGATAAGATTATGTGGGATAACTATGTACTCCACCACACCTCACTAATAAAGCAATCATGTTTTGTGATAAAAAGGGGTTGCTAAAAGAAGGCACATTATGTGGGAGAATCACTGAAGGAAGACAAGATTACTTCTTCCATGGAACTCTTGCAAGTTGATGTGAGAAATGATTCAGACTTAATGAATAATTTATCTTTGGATGCTTCATCTCCTGCTTCTTGAAGAGGAATAATTTATGTCAAAGAATCCTTGCTTGCTGCAATAATTGGATAGACTGAGTTGAGATAAAGAGTTGTTCAAGAAAGATTCAAATGTCAAACCTATCATTCTTTATGCTCCAATTGGGACCATTTGAGGCACCAAATGACAGGATACTTATCTCAATTCTAACATCACTTGAAGGAAAACCACTATCATTTAATCTGTTCCCTGCCACAACACCCCATGTATTGATGGCAATGTTACATGCTTATCCTTCCAAAGTTAATGATTTGGTTTCTTACTCTCTAAAATTGAAGTTTAGGATACATATTAATATTTAAATTAATAAAAATAAAAGTGAGAATTGGAAAGGGTAGAAAAGTAAATGTGCAGAAGACTTAAGAGTGGATGTTTTAATCTTTTGTTTCCAATTTAGAAATAAGAATTAGAATTTGGACTTCCCCCTTCAAAAATAATCCTCCAACAACCACATGTGCTCCACAATAAAGAGGAACCTGGTGATATTTATTACAATTTCCTCCCTCCCTCTCTCTCTCTCTCTCTCTCTCTCTCTCTCCAGCAAATTAATCATGATCTCCTCCACCATTTCCATTCACTCTTCCCAACCCCAACCCTACCACAGGTTTTGAGCCAGATCTCTCTCTCTCTCTCTCTCTCAGACACACACACACACCATGTGGCTTGCACCACATGCCACTTGCTACTCACCCCCACTCATTTACTTTTTATCCTCTCCTCCCTCTCTCTTATTCTTATCATCATCATCATCACCATCATCATTCTCTTCCATCTCTTCACCTCTCTCTCTCTCCATAGTCATCTCCTCTAGCTTCTCTTTTCTTTGTAACTGTGCTGTGCTTCCTCTCTTTCTTCCCTCACCACCATCTCTTGAAGCTAATTTTTTTTTATATTGACTGTAATAAAATAAGGAAAAGAAAGGGGCGCACGCACGCACCTACGAAACCCTAGCGGTGTCTTCTATAGCATGGACCAGGCCACCAAGGTCGCGGAGGCCGAGGGCAAGGGCAAGGGGTTCGGCTTCCCCAACGGGGCGCTGAGGAAGCACCACCACCGCCCGCCGGCCCCCGCGGAGGCGGAGTTCCTGTACCGCGAGTGTCTCAAAAACCACGCCGCCAGCCTCGGCGGCCACGCTCTCGACGGCTGCGGCGAGTTCATGCTCTCGCCTACCGCCGACCCCGCCGACCCCACCTCCCTCCGCTGCGCCGCCTGCGGCTGCCACCGTAACTTCCACCGCCGGCTTGCTGACCCGCCCTCCCACCGCCACCGTGGCCACCCCCGGGACGAGGAGGATGACGAGAGGGACGGCGTGGAGGATGAGGATGAGGATGAGGGGGAGGACGAGGATGAGGACGAGGAGGAGGTCGGGGCGAAGATCGACGGCCGTAGGGACCGTCCTCGCCCCCTCCGGGGCTCCGCTTCGCCTCCGGCCTTCTTTTCCTCCGCCCCCCACATGCTCCTCGCCCTCAGCGCCGGCCTTCCCGGCAGCCCGGGAACGATCCCGGTGAGGCCGGTAGCCGCTCCGACCGCGGCCGCGGCACCGGTGGCGGCGGTGGGCGCCCCCGCGGCGGAGGCCGCGCAGCCGCGTAAGAGGTTCCGGACCAAGTTCAGCCCGGAGCAGAAGGGGCGGATGCAGGAGCTGTCGGAGCGGCTGGGGTGGCGGATGCAGAAGAGGGACGAGGGGCTGGTGGAGGAGTGCTGCCGGGAGATCGGCGTCGACAAAGGGGTCTTTAAGGTCTGGATGCACAACAACAAGCACACCTTCCTGGGCCTGGCAAGGAGAGGCGACCCGGCCAGCCGCAGCGCCCGCAGCGAGGGTGGCATTGGTGGCGGAGACGTCAGCCAACCTGAGGGCAGCGGCCACGCCAACGGCGCCGACGAGGGCGACGGCGGCCATGGGCATGTGGTGAATGGTTCTCTCTCCTCTTCTTGAGCTGGCTGTCACTGTGCTACTCATGCTGTTGTTGCTATTATTACAGTAGTGATAGTAGTAGTTGCAGTTCATGGTTAATTTATTGCTCTTTTAAAGCATCTCTTCTGCTCCTTTGGTAACTTTGCTAAGCTACTAATAATGAGGAAGAGGATGAGGGCTTAACCAGCAGGTAAAGAAAGAGGAGACATTAGTGATCTGACGTTGGTGGATGGTAGCATAATGAAGAGAGAGAGAGGAAGAGGAAGAGGATGAGAGCTTAACCAGTTAAAATTGGCTTTATTAGGATTTCATGCAGCTCTGGTTACATGTACTCATATACACTTGTTGGGGGCTATTGATGAAGATAGATTAGATATGGGATGCGCATGACTTTTAAGGCAATGCTTTCTAGGATTCTAAGTGATCACAAACCTGCTCACACATACATGTTAGGGAAAGAAACCTTGAGAAGCTCAAAAGTTGGTTCTCTTTGTTAATCAAACTTTACACACTTGGTAACTTGGAATTATTCTTTTTAAGGCTGCTCCCTGTTTGACTCTTTTCAAAGAAGTATTAAAAAGATGTAGCAGCACCTCCTTGTGACTTCCATCTCTTTTCATCTTGAGCACTGTGAACAATCTACTTGTGTTATTGCAGTTGCTCATCTTTGAGTTAGATTATCTGAAATTAACTTTGGCCTGTTCAAAGTCAATGCCTTCTTTGTTCTGTTGATTGGGAAAAGCATATTCTACTACTTCATCCTTTTGTTTTGAGTCTGACTCTTACCATGTTGTCAATTGAAAATTAAGTAATATGTAATCAGGTAGATGTATAAAAGAAATATATTAATGAGATCAGATGTCTTAATGGTTGGTTCATGAATGAACATTTGGATCTTGCAGCATACTGGGGTGGAATATTTAGTCAAGTAGCTCAATCAATTAGATATTCATTTCTATAAAAACTATAAATCCTGTATTAGTAGTTAATAGCACACATATTCCTTTGCTAAAGACATGGTGTCTCTTTATTCCTCCCAACAATTTTCTATTATTATCAATTTAAATTAGTTCTTTTATCTTAAAAATGTTTATGAAGGAAGCTAGAGCTCATGGAAATGGAAATCCTAATAGTGTGTCACTCACATTGCTAGCATGCTTTTATAAACGCTTGTCATAATTGATCATGTGCTGTGGGCTGTTCAAGACTGATGGCATAGCTACCATTTCTTGTTCTCTGTGGAACTTGGAACTCACAATCCTTGTTGGGGCAACTGAGTTGATTAGTGAATTGTTTTTCCTGTTTATTTTTCTGGGTTTGGAGGTCATGTCAGATACGAAAATAATTTAGGGAGAGAAGAACATTTTCAACTCTAAATCTCTCATATTATTGTGAATTCCAGATAAGAGATAGAGAGAGAAGATTACCGTGATGAGGATGTTTCTTCTATTTCCCCATTCAGGCTCAGGCACCGCTGCCTTTTTTCCTGCTGCTTAGCTTGTTCCAATGTTGCTGATGCTGAACTTTTTGAGCTCCATGATTCTGTTTCTTGCTTCAAAATTCAATCTTCAGCACTTTGGTACCTGGAGTTCCTGTACACCATACTCACAAAGATCTGAGTGTTGGGTAGGTGGGGGTCATGAAACCTCTTAGCCTTCATAATTGTACCTGTATGCTCATTCCATCTCTATCTACATAATTCACTTTCTAATCAAGAAAGAAGTGTGTTTGTGTGTGTGCTGCTAACCTTTTTCACTCAATAAAGGGTAAGCATCACAGAAGAGGACCAGGAACTGCATTAATCAAGAATCTGCTATTATTAGACAAGTCCAAGTGGTGTCAGCTAAGCCATTTAAGAAAGGCCAGCTTAGTTACTTGGCCTTTGTGCTTCTTTCCTCTCTGTTCTCAACTTGTTTGATGTCAGCAGTGGTGATCTTTTGTCTGGTAGGATTTGGCCTCTAGGTTCTCTCTTAAGGTTGGAGCAAGGGTGGCTGGTCATGTCATACCTTTAGTTAAAAAAGCATTAGTTTCATCCTCCCCACAGAAGGAAGAAAATCAAGTGTTTTTTATTTTGGTAACATTGCATATATATATATATATATATATATATATATTGTGAGGATAGAAATTAAAAAAGAGAAACTCCTTTTTTGCAAGGTGGTACTTAAGCAAAAAAAAAAGATTAATACAAAATTTTATTTCTAGTGGCTAATTTGTAATCCCATTAAAATGGAGAAGCCAGGACCAAGTTGTCTTAAGGTTAAGGGTTGGCATTTTAGAGGCCACTTTAAAGCAACATCAATGGTCTTCGAAGAAAATTAACTTGATTTATGTTACCAGCCACTTCCTGGGTAATCAAAATTTTATCATCTTCTCGTCACAAGAGACTTCAACGGATACAGTTTTATTTATGCAAAACTGGATATATATATATATATATAAAGAAATGAATAGCAGATCTAAATTCATAAGGATGAAATATCCTTATACCCTATTTTTAAAGCTTGTTAAATAAATCAAGCAGGGAAAAGAACGTAAATGTCATATCATACCCCATCAAGAAAAAGAAAGAACAGTAAATCATTGAATGCGTCCAAAAAAGACTTAGTGCTACTTGAGAATAATCCCACTCCATGACAGACACCAAACTTTCATTTAGACTTGGCCCTGTAGAAAAGAAGAGTGAGAGGGTCGATCAAAACTCGGCTCCATCCCACCATATCATCATTTTCTTTCTTTATTAGCCGTAGAGATTTATTTTACTTACAAAATATAGAGATTCTGCATTTCTTTAAGCACATTTTCCCTAACAATTATTTTATCTCTCTGTCACCAAACACCTTTAGAAAAAAAAAAAAAAAGAACACTCCCATTAAAAGATTACCACTAGTCCTTGACTTCTAAATAGCAAACAAAGTGCTTTTAACTATTAGGATGATGTCTCTTTATAGACCAAAAAATAAAATACCATCACCAGCGCAATACATGAATACTAGGATTTGCTATATGAATAAATGCATGAGACTACTTTTATTTATAATATAGTAAAAAAATAATTACTGATATGAAATTATCAAGACCGCTGTTTTTAAGATGGGTGAGGGACGATGATAAGCGGTACTGATAAAAGATTCTAAAAGTTATACCTTATCCCGTCCTCTTCTCTGGTCAAAGCTGATAAAACCCCATCCCCTGCCGGAGCACCCGGCAATGTCTTAGGAAATCCTCGTGTTCGTCCTCGCTATCTATGGAAATATACTTTTTAGAGCAATGAAAGATCATGAATCATGCTCTTTATCTCGTAATCTAGATGAGCCAAGGAGAGCCACCAATTACTTGAAGTTTGGTTCCTGATTCTTCTACCTGTAAAAGAAAAAAAAGAAAGGTCTTCTGTATCAGTGATACCATGGCCTACCAAAGAGTCATCTCCATGCCCAAATGATATGCTCACTTGGGTGATTCCCCTATTTCGTAAATACAAAGTCCCTATAGTGAAGACACACTGAAGTCAGATTCTACGTGAGCAGCAGATAAGGAAGGAGTTGACAGTGAAACTAATGGTCGGAAGAGATGAGAAGGATCCTATCCCTAATCCAATCAAAGCAAGCCGAAAGTTGTCATGCACTCACCTTTCTGTCCCTGTCCTCTTTATTCCATTAGCTGATCATTAAGCAGCTTCAGAGCACTTAGTCCTCAGAAATCACATAGGGTTGGACCATATGGATCATGGTGGACACAGACGACTCTTCTTTAATTCCAAGCCATTCTGCAATCGATGGAGTGATTTGCTGGCCTGCTTCTCTTCCTTGGAACTCTTGCGGCAGAAAATAAAGCTTGTTTCCCTTCAAGGTTCTTGTCAAGCACTAACCTTTGTAAAAGTCAACATGATGGGGGAATTTTGTGTTGCTTGACAATGATGTAATGGCAAATGATCAGCTTTTCTTTAGAGGGAAAAAAAAAAAAAACATGAACATGAGTTGCATTAGCATGTCAAAAGTAAATTAGCAATTTAAACTAGGTAACAATTTATGTGGCATGGAAGCCTGTTTTTGTTGTACCCATCCAGATCGTAGTTAGAATGCATGTGGTACTTGATGCATGATTAGTTAAGACAAGCAACAGCATAAATCTCAATTCTCATTTCTAAAGAATTAACAAAATAATTTTAAAATGACAAAATATTTTTGTTTATGTACGAAAATCAGACTATAAATCTTAGTTAAGGTCATTCAATCAAACAAAATACTTTAATGATAACTTTCATGATAAAGTACAATAACTAATTAATTTTAGTCTTCTTAACATAGTAAATAATAAATAAGGGGTTGAAATATTTTTATTTTATTAAATCATATAACATATAATATAAAGAATAAAATAAATAACAAAATTATGAAATAAATAATTATAATTTAATAATAATAAAAATGTTATAGGAGGTTAACTAATGTATTAATCTTAGATAATGTTATTGTTCTCATACTTAATTTTGATTGGAATTCCAAAGTTTATAAACGAAAGACAGTAAGAGAGTTTGCCATTCATATACTGACAGTAGAAAATTTTAATTCCAATTTCAAATCAAAAAATGGGATCAAATGTCACATAAATCCCGCAAGATAATTTTGAGAAGATATTCAAAGGAACAGATAAATATTTATATCTAAAGCTTTGGGTGGAAGTACATAGAAAATCAAATTACACTCCAATTATTTTCATTTTCTTATTTACAAAAAATAGAAGTAATAGCCAAAGGTTGAGTAAAAGGAAACAGACAAACTAAGAATAATTCTTTCTCATCCATCACAAGATTTTACTCATTCTAAAAACATGATTTTACTTTGCACAACATCAAGTCATGAATTGTCTTGTCTTCACACTGCCCAACCATCCTTTAAACTTCATGGCATCCCCAAGAAAGTCAATTTGAGAGTTCTTGCATAGTTTACGAAGGGGGGGGGGGGAAGGAGTTGCTGGCACAGGGATAGAACAATTTTGCAATCATTATATTTAAACAACTTGGGTTGGGCTGTACTTGGGCTGGTCTTAGGCCCAGAACTTATAAGATTCACAGTTATGGGGCTGGCCATGTGTATTGAAAGACTCAGGCTCTTCTTCAGCCCAAATGGAGATCATAAGGACCGGAGAGGCTCAAATAGAGAGTGGTGCTTCACTTCTCCCCTGTCCGCTCCCAACAACTTCTCTCACCACCTCATGTCTTATGTGAACAACGTAACAAGATGCAGTCATTAACAAACAAACCATGTCCCAACAGTTTCGGTCCAGCCAATTGGCTTGAGGCCTACAAATTAATTCAACTAGTCTCACATTAGATGTGATCAATGACTTTGATTAACATGCGTTATCATTTATATTCAGCAACTTCTAAATACTTCTTGAAGGTTTGACCCACGTGGTAACTAGATCTAGGCCATGACCAGTATAATATCAAAGCAACTAACTACTCATGATGTGCAGATCATGTTGGTGTGAGGACAACGACCACAACACCTTAAGATCCCACGGCATATACAGTAATCCTAGTGATCCATGCATAACATGAATCATATATCTTAACTTCTATACCCAAAAAACACTGATTTTTTTTGTTTCTTATGCATAAAAAGGTGGTTAATTTTTGTAGCAATCACAAGACTTTGCTATGTAGGTTTTTATAATTGTGTTTTGAAAGTTTACATCTTTGTCATTTGTCTTCAATTCAAAGTACTGAAAGTTTTTTACTGCATTCAAAGATACATGTAATTTTGGACAACGTTTTCATATGTTTGGTTCTTTGGAATGACTTTATGTTCAGGTTTTAATATGCAGTGAAGTCTAGTGATTAGAGGTAGCTAAAACTGCAGAGAATTCAAGTTTCTACTTACAGTTTCCATTTGATATATATTCTTCTGGGTTTCAGCCTTCAAACACATTAACAAACTTGGTGTCTGGACTGACACAAACTTTATGTTTTTACTCACTAAATATAAAACATGAAGTACGTGTCGTAATCTATATAACATCTATGCTTTTATTAACTCACTAGAAATTGGTTAACAAATGATCCTAGCATGCCACACATTACCTTCTTTTCCTACATCCTGCTGTTAAAAGTTTCTTAGTAGCAGACACTTATTAAAACAATCTCTTCACACAAAAAAAAAATCAGGAATAGTGTAGCTACAAGCCTACAACATACACATATGGTACAATTTTTAAGAGAACATTTAGGATGAAGTTTACCATGCCCATTTCACTAAAGAATTAAAGAATCATACCACAATATATTTTACTCATATTTGATAATTAGTTTAATGGCATACAAGATCATCAGCATCTTATGATACTACTAGTTCAAATAGTAAAATAACTACTACTTTAGATCTTTGTAAAAGATGCATCGAGAGAAGAGCAACAATAGAAAGGCTAAGATAAGGCAAGAATCTGAAACCTGCAAAGTGAGCATGTTGTTGATGCATGTGGAGGTTACAGAGGTTAGCAGATCCCCACTGAACCAAAAATTAAAAGCCTTCATTGAATGGAGTTGGCAACAAACGTTGGATTTTTGTGAATGCTCTCACATGGGTGACTCTGACCTCTGTCCCAAGCTACCAATATGTTTCATTTTAGAATTTAACCTGCCACTTTCTCCAAGACCATGATTGCATTGTTCTGAGAAATGTCCATCTCCTGGGAATTGAGTATATGTTCTCTTGTTTAAGATCTCAATAACCCTAGAAGATCTGCTATTACTTAGTCCCATTGATGTCGATCCTCCACTACAAAGCACTAATGAACTTGTCTATACTAAGGTTGGTCCAGTGCACAAGACTCCTACCAGTACAGGTCTGAAGAGAGTCGATGCAAGGCAATACCCTCAGGTAAAAGATCATTCAGGTGGCTAACAAAACATTATCACTGAAGCGAGTCAATGTAAGCAATAAACTTAGGTAAATTTTATTTTGGCAGCTGAGAAAACATTGTCATTGCGGGACACAATCAAAATCCACCATCCAATATAACGTGCATTGTAGGTGCATGTACCTAGAAGAACACTATATCTAAATTTTCTATTTGTTTTATGGAAAGAAAATAATGAACAAATTACATGAACAATACACTTAAAATGTCATAAATATTAAAGTGAAACAAAACCCTTGGCTATAATTAATCCATTATGCAGAGGAATTAGAAAAAGATTGCAATTTATTAAGCAATCAGTATGTTGATTAGCTTTGTATATGGATGTCATGACCTAAAATGACTTCATGTCAATTTGTTGATGATATAGGTCTAACTTCAAGTAGAATCTGACATTTAAAAAAAAAAATCAAATCTATGATAAAGACAATAGCTTAACTGATATGCATGTGGAAGCGAGCCCACACTTAAAGGGTTCAATGTCTAAAGAATTCAAAGGGATGAGATTTGGATGAGGCAGTTGTGCACCTTGTGGCCAATTTGTCAGTGAGGCCATGACCTTCTGCAAGATGTGTCTCTTTCTTGACAACGACAAAGGGAAGAACATGGGTGGGGTTGGGTTCATTCACAGAAGAGGTACTTGTAGGTTCCACCCATCATAATGTGATAGCAAAGAATGTCATGGGTGTCCCATGCTTGTCCTTGCATCACATGATGAACTCAGACCAGCACATGCTCCTCACCACTTATTGCATGGCTTCCCAAAGGACATCCAATCTTCCTACAATTCGCAAGGCACCACTTTGTTTTTGGGTCCAACTATAACTCCCCTCTAAACTAGTATTCTTGTAGGTCTGATTTGTACTATGTATGAACTAGTAATGATAACATTTTGCAAGGTTTTAAAGAGTAACATTTGTTCTGCTAATTTGCCACAGAAATAAAATGAACTTTTGGTTAGATTTGATAGCAAAGAATGTCATGGGTGTCCACAAGTTTGTCCTTGCATCACATGATGGACTGAGACCAGCACATGCTCCTCACTTTAATTGATGGCCTCCCAAAAACCACCCAATCTTCCTACAATTTTTAAGGTGCCACTTTGTGCTAGGGTCCAACTATAATTTCTCCCTAATCTAATATTTTTGTTGCTCTAATTTGTACTGTGAACTACTAGTGATCAAATCTTGCAATATTTTGTTGATTCCATTTGTTCTGCTAATTTGTCAGAAGTAAACTTAAACTTTTAGTTAGGTTTCTCCAAAGTTACATAATAGAGTATGCTTGCCTGTTTACAAAGATAGAATCTACCAGCTATTATGTATTAACTGAATGCATATTGATTTGTGATTGCCTCAATGGTACAAAGGCCACACTTTAGGTACCAAGGTCAAGAGTGTAAGCTTCATCCCCAAGGGGTACACAAGGAGGCATCTTTTATCCCTCTTTATGACTTTTGTCTGCCCCATCTAAGCTATAAATATGGCGGCCTCTCCAACATTCCACTACATCTCCTTAGCCCATTTGTCTGTAGCACTGTTTAGACTTGGGAAGAACAATAGCCATGGCTAAGCTTGTTGTTCTGCTGGCCATTGCCCTCCTAGCCATTTCCATGGCTGACTCTGGTTACAAGGTCAGGATCTCTTCTCTGAAAGCCAGTGATACCAATACTACCAATCTACACATAACATTACCAAGTCCATTTTACAATGTAAATAAGTATGCTTGCTCTTAGCTTCTATGTTATTTCTTTGCATTCCAGGTGCTGGCCAAAGAAATTAAGCATTCTGAAGGGGAGTACATGCTGGTACAATTATTTACATCTTCCTGCTTTGTAAATACTTCCTAAATAGAGTGGTTTAAAGTAGCAATTCTTCTTTTTTTCTGATTTTCTTACTAATATGCACTTTTTCAGACTTCAAATGGACGAGGCACCCTGCAAACCTACCGTAAGTTTCTCATTTTTCATTTTCATCCAAACAAGTCTCAAAAATGGTGGTCTTATTATGAGTAATTGAGCAACAATAGTTATAGAGATTTAAAACAGCAGAAGAGAGATTCTGAGACAAAACATTTCAGAATGACCTAAGAACTACTAAGAAAAATACTTGGAAGTGATCTGTTCTTGTATAATTAGGCTAATGGAAAAATCTATTCTGAACTATGAATGTTATTTCTTTTCTAACATTTATGCATTGTATTTCCATGATCAGAATGCCCATCCCAATGCTCAAGGAGGTGCTCAAAGACACAATACCACAAGCCATGCATGTTCTTCTGCCAGAAGTGTTGCATTAAGTGCCTCTGTGTACCCTCAGGTTTCTATGGCAACAAAGGAGAGTGTCCTTGCTACAACAACTGGAAAACGAAGAGAGGGGGCCCAAAATGCCCTTGACTTGAAGCAAACTAGTTTTCCCTAGCCTATTTGTATTGTTCACTTGCTTCACTCAACCTAAAGAGGTTGCTCTTGTATTACCATTATCTGCCCGACCAACCTCAACTTGATTGCTGAGTGTGGTAGGAGGCAACATAATTTGTATCAAGAATCAATATTATGATTCTTATTTGTACCTCCTAATCAACCAATAACAATCTGATATTTGATGGTTTTATGAATAAGCCATTTACTCTAAATATATTATTCTTTCATGAATGCCTCTTTGGCTTAAAGTGGACCTCGCAGTTTCTTATCATATAGCAAATAATTCCATGGAAGAATCATCTAGATATAAGTTTGCAAACTTTGGGAGTACCATTTCAGAATTCAGTTAAAAGATACCATTCTTGGGTTGAGGTAATATCTGTAAACTCATCGAATTCTCCTAAGAAACAAAATGAAATAACTCACGTAGATGGACTTTGTAATCTTTCACCATAGTTTCTGAGTTCATCTGCAACCATAAATAAATTGCTCCAGCAATCTAGCAAACATCAAAACTGATTAAATTGGCAGCAGGGTGCAAGATCATATGCCATTGAACTGACCTGAAATAAGAAACAACCTGGGTATGAAATTCTAAAATACATTCATGTGCAATTTAAGGCAGCTGTTTACCAAATAATCATCCATTCCATGCTCATATTTTAGATGCTCAGTGCAAATAGCATTTATTCATAATTATACACCAAATCACAATATAAATATAGTAAATGTACTTCTTGGTGGGAAAAGCTTACAGTTTTTTACAGCCTTTTTTTCCAAGGTGTATTATTCTGTGAAAAATGTGTTTTTTATCATTTGATGCAAAAAGCATTTATTTCTTTTTTTATTTTTTGAAAATGATAAGTGACGAGGATGAGATTCGATCCTTAGACCTAGCTATAAGACAGTCAAAGTTGTATATTGTTGCATCCTTCGCTAAAGCAATAGACAACATACCCAACATATGGCATCATCCAACAAACATAAGTGCATCTTTTGGATGTCTATTTCTTTCAACTATTTCATCAAACGACTGCCTCGCAGTCTGCACACCATCACTTTCTCGGTGCATTCCGATGGGAATCTGGACAAAGACATCAGTGTCAAAAAGGAGCTCGGAAGCGTAGAATGAACCTTGGTGCCCTACTCAACCTCGCCAAGACTTGACAACGTGACATTATCGAACTCGACACCGCCGCGGGGCTCAACGCATCTAATTGTAAAAGTCGAGTGCACTGGCGGAGGACAAGAATGGCCTGTGAAGGCCAGAGAGTAACGAGAGGCGAGGGCGACAGCAAAAGGCGATAGCGCATAGGAGCTTCTGCACATTGAGTTAAGTAAGATCCTAACGACAGCGGGGAACGCTCTAGGCTCTAGAGAGAGTTGGAGAAGCGATGACATTAGTGGAGAGCGGGAAGAAGCCGGCCAAGGAGCAAGAACTAATCAAGTGAGATGAAAAATATATAGATTTCTTTGACTTCTATTAATTCTTCTATAGATTAAATCTACCAATATTTGTAAAATGTATTTGCTATTGTTGGACATCTTTCATCATGTTTTTGCCTTACATAAATGCTCACATAAATTAATGTGATGAATGCTTGGAATCCATAAAAGCTTCCAAGTGCATTTGAAGTTCTGTTACTTTCACAACTTTGCATCAATGTAAGACACATATCAATTTCTCCAGATAGCAATGGTATTTATAAGTCTAACACTTTACATAATCTATATATACAAAACTATGAAAGAGATATTTTAAGAGTCTACTAACATGATCTCTTGAAAATGGGTTCAAGAGAGGTATAAAATTGGTAATTATTAATCGTTCTGTTACAAGGAAAAATAAAGTTAAATTGCTCATCCTATTCACCTAGACATGTATCTTGTCCAATTCAAGGGACTGTTCAACAAAATAGAAGAATTTTCTTTACTCCATGTGACTTTTCAATTTCTTATCTAAGTTGAAGAACAAAATTGCTGATAGTTGTTTAATCTAGTGAAATTTCCCTGCAACTCTGATGACAGGCATTCTCAGTAGGTATTATGTAGTAGCTTTTTTGTTCATAGTTCTTAGAATCCTAACAAATAATAAGAGTTGAAATGGTGCTAAGTGAAAGGCACAAGGCATTAATAATATGGCAAATGCTTCTACAAAACTTAATAGAAGAAAAAGAACGTGAAGAAGAAAAGTAGAAGAATCTGAAGGAGGAAGATTAGCACCCAATGTTATCATCAAAGACATTTTGAATTGTTCAAACCTTATGCACAAAAAATGGCCGACAAGAAAAGTTGCAGTTTATGTATACCCGGAACCAAAGCAAATTCTTAACTATACGGAGCGAGCATGACACTTGAATGACTCATCTGAACCAGCTACATTGCAGAAAGGTAGGAAAATGCTTTTTAGCTGCCTCTTTTTCCCTTGTTTCAATTTTGAGCTCTTTTTTTTTTCCTCTCACTTATTGCATTCCATAGCTTGTTTGCTAGCAGCATGATTTTTTTTAAGGACGAATTCCCGAAAAAATCCTCTAAGTTTCATAATTTTCTAAATAGCATCCGAAGTTTGAAAATTTTTCAGAAAGCATCTTTTTTTCAAAATAACTATCCTGTTCTCGTCGGCCACCTCCTTCCACCCAACCCCTAGTTGCATCGTCGCCCTGCCGATCGCCCCCCTCCGTTGGACCTACCCAACAGCGGAGACACAGTGGCCCCGCAGCACCCCGCTGGACCAGCGACGGAGCAGCCCTCGCAGCGCTGGACCAGCGACAGAGTGACTAGTGACAACGGTGAGGGTCAGGGGTCTGGCAGGGGTCGCATAGCCTCCTAGCACCCCTGCCTTGACAGCGAGGTCTCCTCGCACCCCCTCCTTGCCGTCGACCACAAGCGAGGAAGGAGAGGGGGAGCGGCTTGTCCTCACAGCCAACGGCAACAGTGAGGGTTGGGAGGCGAGCAGGGTGGCCACGTGAGACAGAGGGGGGCCATCGATAGGGCAGAGGCACAGCCAGGGCTGACGCGGGAAGAGGCAGAGCTAGGGTGCAGCAAGAATTTTCAAAATGACGAGGACAAAATCACCTTTTCTCGCAGTCAGAGGCATTCTGTGGGAATTTTTCAAACTTGGGGCGTTATGTAGGAAATTCTGAAACTTGGAGGCTTTTCCAGGAATTTGCCCTTTTTTTAATATCCTTCTCTAATATTTTAACTAACTTTTACTTGTATTTCTGGATCTGCAGTTTATTTAAGCATTTCAGCATGATTATGCACATTCTTTTAATGAAAACAATGAAAACTCAAGTTATCTGACATCAGGTTTTATGCACTCATTATGCCAGAAAAGGATTGGAACTCTTTGGAACCCAACATCTGACTTCCAGTAGGGCTAGTTACCTTCTACACTACCACAAAGCCACTGGGTAAGACTTGCCATGTTATGGGACTTGGTTACAATCCAAGTGTAGGTCTTGATGAGATTCAAAGTGCAGCTATAATACACTTATAAGAACAAGAAACTATGGCTTGATGTGGTCCTGAACCAAGACAAGCATAGCTGGATGAACTATTTCGATACTGAAATTGATTACCTCCAGATGTGCAACTTTGGACTTTAATGCACAATACTGTAGAATCGCCTACCCTCTAGAGGTTGCATATATGATGCTAGGCTAAGTGACATGAAATCCATACCAGAAAACACTATCATTTAATTTTTAGCATCACCTAAACATTCTGATACCCATCCAGGCACATACGGATAGCGCAGATTTATAAGGTCATCGATTAAGGTATGCAGGGAACAATTACGGATAAATGCAACAAAAAGTATACATATCACACCTTTAATCTGCAAACTAGGCCCAAAAATTTCAAGATAAATCTATTTTGGGATAAATTTAGAGATTGACACAATATCTACATAACTAGAAGTACTATACCAATCAAATCCTGCGCACACTCGACGATCCAATATAGAACAATACAGAGAGAAAGAGAGGATGAAGAGATTATTGGACCTGTAAAGCTCGTCGAACCTGAGGCAAATCTCGAGAATCGCATGCTCCATCACTTCCTCTCGGCGCCCATCCTCGCCGCTGATGCAGGAACGAAATACCTTGAGCCGAGTCGGTCGGCTGACGGCGAGATCGAAGCTTGGGGTTTCAGGAAGATGGCGAGGATTCCAACGAGACGGGGGAAGACGCGAGGGTTTCTTTTGAAATTGACGACAAAGGAACTCAATATATGCTTTTCGTTTGGTTCGCTCGAACCATGTTGCGGTCCGATTGGGTCCGGTTCAATCATGGCCTCCAAGCAAAAGAACCCTTCACCGGTTTAATCCGCTTCGATCCATGACTTGTATGGGTCGGCCCAAGTGAGCCTTTCAGCCTTTCATAATATAACATCTACTGTGTCATTTGAAGAACTGCCAGTACAGGAAAAATGAGATCTAATTTGCTTGCTAAATCAATCTTAAATGTCCACATAACATCGCATATACGATATGTTAGCCAATAGGTTGCCACATCTAAAACTGAGCAATCCTATTATATGTTGTGTGTTAAAAGTAAGGAAGCTTAGATTGAGTTCTCTTCCAGTTTTCTTCCCTCCCTACTTGGCTTTGAAGGAATCTTTATTACTTCCCCACCACACAGTGCAGGGTTTGCATGTTTCCATGCTTAGCTTCATGCTCTTTGTTGTATCTCTTTGGTTGCTTTGCTCCTGTCATCATCCAAACTACATTCATATTTTCTCAGTCACTTATCTATCATCCACGTAGAAGAAGGGAACCCTGATGAATGCTTGACATTGCACATGTAAACGATCTTACCCGTTCTATGCAAAGAGAAGGAGATCTTTATTATGTAGTTGCCTTTCGATGATACGGATCAGGTGGCTGTTGCTTTGACCCTGAGCTTTGAATTGCATGGTCTTATAGCTACTGCCAATGGTTCAGACACTCTTTGCTGCATCTGCGGTCAGTGTTGTCTATTTTGAACACTGTAGATGATACTGATGTTACTTTGGTTGAGAACTCCATCAAGCTTAACACACCCTCACATGCTGGGCTCAAGCAGATGTCCCATTTACCACTGGGGTCGATGCGGGTGTCAGCTCCTTTTCTGCACCTCGACACTGATCATTCACTCGATAGGCATGGCTGGGAATGCTGCAGGAACGTTGTCGCTTATGATGGCAATCATCCTTCTTTTTCCCATGCTTTTAGTTGATTTTGCTTGATCTTGTCTTCTCAGATATCGACCTCGGTCTTAGATATAGCTGCTGACATATCTAATGCTGAAAACAAGTGGTTTATAACCGTTGGAAATCTATTAACGATGAGTATGAGTCAAACTAATTAAGGTTTATATTGTATTGAGTCAATCAAAAGCTTAAGAGACTCAAATATATATCATCCGTTCTCTTAGTTTTTTCTTTAAATCTCTCCTCGCACATGAATATCTTCTACCAAATGCATGCTGATGTTATCTGCTGAAGAAATGTTTTAGCTTTGATGTTTGCCGATGGAGAACCTGCAGAGATACCTACAGGCTCAAAGATGGGCCATGATCAGAAAGATGAACTCGTAGGCAGTACACCTGAGAGACTGACACCTTTGTTGGATAGAGAAATGTTTGTGGTGGCTCAGGATCATCATAGTTTTCAGGTGGTCATGTGGCCTGTTTCAGCCTTAGCCCCATTTGGGGATGAACTGAGAGGGGCCACAAGACTGCAAGTGTCACCGCAGCAGCGTATGTTTCATGTTGAAGGAGCGGGAGGGGAGGGGGGGGGGACTCCTCTGGAAACATTAGCTCTTTCATGTACTGCCACCTCGCATGCCATTACTGCAATCTAGCTTTTGGCCCCAGTGGAGGATGAGAGCAGCGCAGCACATGCCTGCTCTCAGCTTGGCACAGGAACTTCAAGTTGAGTTCAGATCTACTCACCTGAGAGAAATCAAGTTTTCCATGGCAATCCAACACCAGTTCTCGAGTAGGGTAATGGCATGCAGACCTTGATCTCCTGGACGAGAGATGAATCACCAAACCATGCATGCATCGTGAGGTCTCCCTCAGGTTTCTTAAGCTGTTTCATTGACATCTGCAGCTGCAGGTGCCAAACAAGGGTGAGGGGAGGCGTTCATCTTTGAACGCCCGCCTCTGCGCTTGGCGGGCAGCTAAAATGGCGACCAAGGGGAATGGTGGGGGCCCGCCGGGGTGGCCCACTTAAAGAGAGGGAGAAATGGATGACGTCAGATCGGAGGAGGTGGGGGCCAGACGAGGATTCCTGTTGTCTGATGGTGTGGAGACAGCGAGGCCACCACCACGCCAACGAGGCAGCGACCGGCAGTTGCTGATTGATAGCTGTCTTGAGTCAGTCAGGATCCAGGCTTTCCACGTCAACACGACCGGTGGTAACCTCCCTCTCCAGCTGTCTGGTTGAGAACCCTGGATCTTGTTCTGGTTTGGGTATTTGATCACATCTCTAGCATTGGCTCGTGACTTGTTCCACATCGAGAGTCAAACAAAAAAGTCAAAAAGCATAGAAGCCGTGTCAAAGACGAAGACCAGGTCAATAAAATCAACAGGTGGAATGTAATATATATATATATATATAGGCAATCTCGTGTGGAAGAAGCCAATAACGGAATCATTCACAGGTCTGCCCTTTCTTGAACAGTGCCAACTCAGATGTCACTTTCTATGGGGAAACCAAAAATTATATTATTTGTGGCATATTCGGTATATCATGTGATAGTACATTGAATCACATCATTGTCTCCAATCACAAAGTACTCCACACTTTTCTAACCTTTGCCTCGGTTTAAATTCCTTTTTACAATATATATGTATACTCCAAAAACAAGTGATAATTTGTATTTAGCTTTGCTAGATTGATTGAGGTTTGGTGTTCATAGATTTACGGATGTGTCATTGTAATTATTCTTCGTTGACCGTTATCTAAATAATAATTGATGGAAAACATGAAAAGTCAAATGATTGATGAGGATATGAAAAGTTAGTAATAGTTAAACTATGAGCTCAAATAGCGAAATAATAGTGTCACATAAGCATATGCCCAATGAGCATGGAAATGATGTAAGGCACCTATAGTGATAGTTGTGAATCCTGCCACTTATATAAGATGCTCTGTCCATTATCTTTTTTATCTTTACTAATGGTAGGATACTATTTCAAACTGAGATGACATGTAAATGGATAGTTAACAGGTTTTAACTTATTTATGTTTAATCTATCAAAAAAAATTTGATATATCTATCTCTCATGAGATATAATCAAAGTTTATCATTCTTCTTATCACAAATAATTATCATACCAAAAATATGTTTAAATCTCAAACCAATTTTATAGCAACAACTTTACTCAACTCTTCTTTTAAATCTATATTTTTTTTGGTATCATGATCAATGATTAGCATGTCATCCAAGAAAAAGAATAATAAAATTATTATTAAAAAATATCTTATATAGATAGATACAAAAGTAGTTTTATCATCTCATGATTTATCATAAAAGAATCAAATTTTTATACTAATATCTTAGTATTTACTTAAGACTATATTAAATTTGTCTTATCTTTAGCTTTGAACTCTTCATGTTGCTTTATATATATTTTTTCCTTCAAGTTATCATAAAAAAAATAATTTTTAATCAAGCTATTCAATCTCAAAATCAATACATTTTTTCTGATCAAATCCTTCTAGCTATGAGTTTTTTTTCCTTTTTCAATCTAAGCACCCATTTGTTCTTTAATGCTCTTTTAATATTATATAATTTTACAAAGTCAAATATATGATTCTCATGTAATGATTTCATCTCTTCTTATATGGCAATCAACTATTTATTTATTCGCTCATGTAACATAACCTCTTCTTAGTAACGTTCTAACTCTTACTCTCATAAGTAAATAACACATATTTACGAAGAGAATATCTTTGAAATGGTCTATGCTTTCTGGTATATCTTCTCAATTGATGTTTAATTTGTGGTTCTATGAAGCTTTGCTCAACATATTTATCAAAATCATCGTTTGAGGATACATCACTATGATCTTATTATTTATCTCTATCATCATCGATTAACTACATGGGAGAAAGCATAGGACTCAAACTCAAATCCATAGAATGTTTATTGAATGACTTTAGTTTCTGAAATTTTTTAAAATCTATAATAGTTTGATTTTCAAGAAATATCACATCTCTAATTTTAATGGCTTTCTTATTTTTAAAATCTCATAATCTATAACGCACAATACAAAAAGACATATTGTTTACATCAAACTTTGATCTATCATATTTTGGAATCTAAACAAATGTCCCAGATACTCTTAAATAATTATAAGAAGCATCTTTTCCTATTCGCACTCTTTCTAACATAAGGAGAAAGCTTGATCAAATCCATAACAATTCTTACAGCTTCACCTCAAAAGGATGAGAGAACATTACAATCATTCTTTCCCCAATTATGTGGTTTTTTTTTCTTTTTGTAACTCAATTATACTGTTGTATCTTATGAACTATCTTTTCAAGTTTGATATTATGTTTTTTGTAATATATTTCAAGTGACCCTCTACGATCTCTAACATTATCAACTATGATGCGTTTAAGTTTCTTTCATGTTTCTCTTTCAATATAGGCATGAAAATACTTAAGTACATTAAACACTTAATCATTATGTTTCAAAGCAAAACTCTAAACCTTTCTGGAATAATCAAATGAAATATTTGATTTCATAATACAATCATCAATATGAATTAAATCTAAAATATTTCATTTCTATAAAAATAATGTATGAAATGTAATTCTATATTACTTATCAACTAAACAATAAGTGCAAGTGTTTTATGTCATGATTCAAAATAGTCATCAACTACATTAACTTATTCTAGAATTTATTCCACTTGTGTCATATAGAGGTTGTTGTCTTTCCTTCTTTTAGCTAGCACAAGATCACCCTTTGTGATCTTTCATCTTCTATACCAAAGATATTGACACAACCTTCATCATCAAAATATACCTGTTGAAATTAAGTTAAAGTGCATTTTAGGAACATGTCTCATATTTTGTTGATATAATTTTACATATAATATTGGTTTCCATATAAATCTTTTCCATGTTCATAATTTTTGTCATTGCATCATTTTTCATTCTGACATGATCACAATTACAATCTATGAAAGATTCACAC